GGACTGGCCTGGAGAGAACAAAAGAGACGACATAGCATTGGGGGAAGAGGGTTGGGGAGATGATGGAGGTAGGAGGAAAAGGAGTGACGAGAGCAAGTGCGTCATTATATGCTCTCGATCTTTGGTACTCGATTATGTAATCACTTCGATATATTGTTTAAAGGTAAAAACAAATTATATTATAAGTCTGAAAGAGTGATTGTTAACATTATTAATATATATAATTGTATATTATCTTACTAAAAGTATTGTAATTAACTTACAAGCACAACATATTACTTTTATGACTGTTATAATTAATCAACTATTGTTACAGATAACTTATAATATAATTTTAGCATATTATAATAGGAGTTGAGCACTTGTACCTCACATGTAATGTTGTAATAATACTATTAGTAAGCTTACTTGCTCTAAAACATGTTTGTAGTTTAATAGAAACTTTGTATATTTCTTACATTTATATATAATCATTATAATTACATTATAAGTAAAATATAAGTGTTATTTTAGAATGTAATGCTTATAAAATCATTTTATTAGATTACCTTTGCTATTATTAAATACATTTGTTGCGACTTTTTCGTGATGAGGCTACCACCTTGTCGAGTAACTGAAGATGAGCTGCTAGAAGAGACGCTTGCGCGGATGGCTTTCGCTTGTCTTGTTCCCTTGGACGATCCAGGTAGCGTCACCCGTCTAGTTGACCACTTGGCAGAACAGACAAAACGTGCTGAAGAACGGCATAACTTTTGGAGCTCAGGTCCCCGTCTCATTCACCTTCCGAGTGTAGAGATGATCCGCAAGTATTGCGAGTATGTTCGATGATTTTACAGCGCCAAGGTGGTATATTTATGACGTTTTGACAGGAGCCCTCATACTTAGTATGCTGCTTTGCGTTTTACTGGCATCGTCTTCCGGCACTACTTCCTCTCCCGTGGAGCTGCTTTCTATGTGAAACTTCTCAGTGAAAATACAACCGGATTCTGGCGAGAACTCATAGGTTGCATGCAACATCTCGTTCAAACAGAACTTACTCGGGCATGTGGGTGCTATACTTGCCCAGAGCATTGTTTTAACAAATCAAGACATACAAGCGCCTCGCTTGTGGACTCAAATACATTAGCTGATCCGGATCCTGAGGGCATTCACCTATCTTCGAAATGCTTTACCGTGCTGTTACGTGGGATCCGCTCCTCGATAAAGACGGGACACGCTCCACTAAGCTTCGCGATTTGTTGATTTGTGACGCCCTTAATATCTTCGAGTCATAAGCATGCATCACAAAAATAAACATAGTCTTATAATGTATTATATGCAAATGTAATGTCTAAAATATATAAAATATATAGAAGTCTGCCAGGTGTCCATATATTGGATTTTAAGGCTAAGACATATATTTTCAAGATATGTAAGAGTTGTGAAATCTATAATACTTCTAATGATTGTCAGAGTATACAAGACTTGACAGACAATATAAGCCATTATAAGCTATTGTTAGAATTGATAGATAATAAAATAAATATTGTTTTAAATATTACTTGTACTTTCTAAACACTGTTATAGAAGGAAAAAAATTGTGTAATATTTATTTAAATGTACTAAGGATACAAGCAAATTCCTTTAACTAACCATACTACCTTCCTCCTTTGACTCATAACAGTACTGCCCTTTTACCATCATCAACTGTCATCTTGTTGCTTGCTAGAGTCGGCTGGATGCTTAGATTCTCGTTCTGTCAAACTAGTGAGAAAAAGCCATGCCAGAACATTATGGTAATACAGGTCGACCGAACTGGTCACGTGATGTATGGATAGGGGGACAGGAAGCGCGCCAATCAGACAGGCCATGGA